TCCCAGTTCGGTCACTCACGGCTTCACAATTGTGCCAAGAAGCAGAAAAATTTCCGTATTTTTTAAACAGAATCTCTTGCAAATTGTTTATTTTTGGCAATTTAAAAAAAAAAAAAAGACGGATGTAGAATAAAGCAAAGTTGAAGAAATATTGACATTTGATTAAGAACGTCACCGACGAGCAGTTCAAGGTCCGTCGGAAAGCAGAAATACCAATGAGACGTTTTGTTTTTGCCGCTTCTGGTTCGAATAAATGGTGGAATTTTTTAAAATGTATTTATGTTTAAGACAACATTTGATTAAAGAAGAGTTGAAAAAAAAAACCAATATGATTTAAAGGATTAGACAATAAATGCAGATTGATACCCATTTGCACACAAAAAAACCCTTTCCAAGTCGCATTTAAATCTTTAAATAACCAAACTTTATCTACAGCAGTGAAATATCACCACTTTTTAGTAATAATCATAATTTATAAATTTGCCAGCTAATGACAGCATAATATACAAAACTATGTTTATTTTTATGAAAATCAAATCACTCGCGGTCTCGATTAAACAGAGAAAATAATGTTTGTCCTCAGTTACACAATAAATAAATTAAATAAACAATAAACAGGAGTTCTTCACCTAAATGTTTCCAGTCTACACTCTAAAAAATATTGTTTAAGTTCAACATAAAAATGCTGCAAGTTGTGAAAACCTTTAATGGAATTATATTCAGCCAACAAACTAGGAATTACCTTTTTACAATTAAAAGTATTTTAATCATCACTCCTGACACAAAGTCTGAAATCGTTCGAGCGTGTTAAGATGAAGCTGGAGGTGGAGAAAAATGAAGTTATCCAACATTAAAACTTGAATTTAGTTTTGAATTTAGGTTTACATCAAACACAATCAGAAGTCGATGCAACGCGATGAATTTTATCTTTTGCTTTAAACACATTTGGTGATTTGAGTCGTCTGAGGAGACGGGTTTTTACTTTCAGGCTTGAAGTGTTGAAATTCATCCCGGGTATTCCCTCTGCTGATCTGGATTTACAAAACGGAAGAGCAATAATTAAATCATGAATACTGCATCACCTGCTCCCAGCGGTGATTGGATTTATCCCGCCGCTGATCTCCTCGTGGCATATTCGGCTCTCCCGGAGACGTCTGTGGCGTTTTTTCACAAGTTCAGAAAGGGCCTCCGACTGACCTTTTTTTTTTTTCGTCATTAAATTCTTAACAGTGACATTAATGTCTGCGGAGTCGATGCAAAGGTGAAAACGAGCAGAGAGACGGGAGGAGAGCGGCGAGGCTGAAGTGGAGGCTGCTGCTGTTCTCCGACGCTGTATCGATCCTCGGCTCTCTGCTCGCTGCACACTGGAGTAAATTGGACTGTTTTCTTCGGCGGTGATTGACGCCTGCCTTCTGCCAGCAATGTTTCTAAACTTGCGGTGATATTTTCAGCAGACTGAAATGATTTTTTTTTCCCTTTTTCCCCCCTTAAAAATATAAAATCCGAGTGTCGGAGTGCGTCTGAGCTGACAGGTGACGAGTGTTAAAGCTAAACAAGCCACGGCGCGTTCTGACAACTCTGTCAGCGGAAAACAAAGAGAGACGACGACACATGGCGCTTCTGTCACTTATTGCCAGGACTAACAAAACAGCGCCGCGCAGTCCAAGCATGAAATCATGTCTGGAGGGACATCTTTTATGTTTCACAAAAAAAAATAAAAATCTAGCTGTGTTGCAGAAGTAAGAAGTGCAAAGGATGACGGAGCAGCGAGCGTGACGCTGGCCTTCGTCTCCGTGTGCTGTGGACGCTCTGCGGATTCAATCAGCGCCGTAGCAAGATTCTTTAAATTGAATTAAATCTCGTCTTCGGGAATCAACAGCAAAGTGAAGCTTTGGAAAAAGAAGAGTGGGCTGAGCTGAGGTGACGGTTGCATCGCTGGTTCGCTAAGCTGATCCTGGAAATCCCGCCTGCTTGTAGCTACCACGAGTGCACGATGCGTATTAATCATGTAGTCGGATTGAATGACATTGAATAACGTGAGAGCCGGTAAGATAAAACAGGGATGCAGAACTTTCCACGTTGCTAAAATAATTGTTTTCTGTTTGGAGGAGGTTGTGATTACTGGACCGTTCACTGCATCTTGTTGCATCATTAGCTGCTAAATATCGGCTTTGAATGTGAGTGACGGGCTGCAGAACCAAAGTCCTCCTGATATAACCGTCAGCTGTTTAAAACTGATTTTATTTTTCCATTTTGTAGTTAAAACGGGCTCCTGAAGCTAAACCTAGAACGCATTTCTGTTCAGATGATCTGGAGAATCCCTGAAAGATTTTCACTTAATTACAAATATGTCTTAAATTTGTGTTCTTAGCATCCTTGCGTTCTTCTGTTTTCCTTATTTAAATTGTATATATAGTGTACATACGTCGCCTCTTTAGTCTATAGTTGTGTTTTCTTGCTTTTCTTACACTTTGTGGGACTAATGAAGGATATTCTGTTCTATTCTAAATGCTGCTACTCGCATCGCTGTCGTGTGGATCTTTTTAAATCGCGGTACTGTTTTCTTGAGAAAAGCTGCTAAACTGTAAGGATTTGTAAAGCAAGCAAAGGAGGACATGCAGAATCAGAAACCGGCTGTCACTTATCACTTAGTTTACGTTGTGGTTTTGGAGCAGGTGAGGTCTTCACGGTGAAGCTCAAGGTCACTGTAATGGGAACGATTCCTCCCTGGAGGGTCACACAGGTCCTGACGTTTGACCCCAGTGTGGGACGCTGGTTGTTTGCAAAGATTTCAAGCTCAAACTTATCTTGATTATTACCTGAATGTTGGAGCAGTTTTCTTAGAAACATAAGAAAACTCTTTCTGAAGGACGGGGAGGATGGTCCACATGAGAAACAAACACAGCAGCTCTGGTTAGCTGCTTCCACGACCTTTTAAATCCCCCACATTGGACGACGTTCCCACTTTACAACTTAGTGAGAATGTTATTTGGTTTTTAAGTAGAATTTGCATAGCTCCGCCCCTTTCACTGCTCCCAGCTGAACCGATCAAAATGCTTCGTCGGGTTTATTTAATGTCTACAGCTGCTTCTGCTAAACTCTCATCAACAACAACAAAAACCCCAAACACTTTAAAATGTTCTGCTGTAAGAGTGAACAGAGAGTCTTCATGCACCGCCAGCATCTGAGGAGCCGGTGGATTATTACTGATGCTAGTTTCAGCACAGCAATAAGAGAATACTCGTTTTAGCATGTTGTGCAGCTAATGTGGCTAACGTTAGCTTTAGCTTTGATCGTATGTCAACAGTAAACCAGGACCAGCTGTTAGCATCCGTTAGCTTCTCTCCTGCTCTCTGTGCTCATTAAACTGCATTTTAATATCAGCTGATACACAATAAAGCTGCTCTCATTGAGTTTCTACTGTTTCTGTCGTCAGACGGCAGAACGAGGACGAAAAGGAGACTGAAACTCATTCAGACGTGAACCAGCAGCAGCTTCGTCTGCTGCTGCAATACTGATTTTATAACTAAAAAACTCGACAAACATGGGCGCTAAAAACAACAACTGAGCTGAGAATTCAGAGATATCTCCACGTAAAACGAGCCTCACAGTGTCGCACACTAATTACCAGATGCAGAGAGTCTTCTTCCTGAAGGGGGCGGGGCCACCAGCTGCTTTAGAACCAAACTAAATCCACCAGTGACGATGGAATGACCGTCTTTGAGGTGTTTTGAGCTGGAAAGAATTCCGACACACTCTGGGGACGTGTGAGATTTAATTCAATTTGCTAAAAAGGGCGACGAAACGGGACCTTTCGAGTCCAACCTGCCGACATCTTCATCAAACAGAAGCCTCGGTTGGCTGCTCACTCAGCGCCCGACCCGTCCTCCTCTTTGACATTGAATTCAGTCCCTCGCCGGCTAATTACCAAAGGTCGCCGAAGATCCCCGGAGCCCGGCGTCTCGAAGCGCCGCCCGCCACGTGCTCGGCTCGTCCTGCTGATTAAGGGATCTGAGGCCACGTTTAAATAACTCAACCTCCCCCTCGTCGCCACTGGACGCATTAATCTCCCTCCGTGTGCGGATTGAGAGATCCTCGCTTCGTTCGGATGTATCTCCCACACACCATTAAAGAGCAACCTAATACAGTAATCAGTACATGGTGGAAATAACAGCATCCTGCGAGTGAAACCGATTCTTAGTCACCGAAGCAGAAAGTTCTGGCTCATCACTGCTCATCTATAAACGCCGTGGCTGAGGTTGGGCTAATGAGAGCCCTTAGCAGACTCGTTTTTCATTTGTAAGCACAAAGGAAACAGTCAGCAGTCTGGTCTGATATTAATAAGAACATCATCTGTGGTGCGGATCGGGTTTCTCCGCACGTCTCGGCGCCTTGAACTCCTCAGAACGCCGCTGACGGATGACGCCCATCTCAACGCGTCCATTTATCTCGTTTTGTGGTGCTTGTTGTTGTTTTCCACATTATCCTCAATGAGCGCTAAAACGCCATTAATTACATCACATTTCTAGCTGCTTCTCGCTCTGTTTTGAGCAACTTCGCTTATTAATTTCAATTACAGGATCGTCCGTTTGGTGCGCGCTGATGCAGATTCCCTCTCAGAAGCGCGCCTGTTGTGATAAATCACCGCGAGAAGTCGAGCACTCCGACAGCACTACAGTGACCGCCGAGTATTAATCACAGCAGGACAGATTATTACCCGTCCTCCATCCATCTTTTTTTTTGCCGGTGACATTGCGGGGTCTAAACAAACAATGGCGTGCTGGTATTATCCGCCGCGTGCTACGCTCTACGCTGCCGTTATGGATCTCTGGGTGGAGCACGAGTAGCTGCAGAAACAGATTGTGTTTTCCCGCCGCCGTGGGGGCTGATTTATTTGCAGAGATGTGGAGTGAAAAGACAGTTTTTAAAGGAGTATGTGTGCATGTTCATATATTAGGGGTTATTTGCGGCTAACGAGGTTTCCCTTCTTTGTTCTGCAGCGTCTCCGACCGTCCCTCCGCTGCACTCGGAGCATTTCAAACCCTGTCATGAGAAGGACTTGGCCTACTGCCTAAACGGTGGCGAATGCTTTGTCATCGAGACACTCAGCGGGCCTCACAAGCACTGCAAGTAAGTGATCGTATTATTTAAATGCCTCCTCTTCTCTGCTCTGCTCTGCTTTGTTCTTCTGAGAGCTTCCCTGCACTGAAACCTCCGGTTGACTGTCTGCTTTCTATACGGTCGCCTCTGACGAGCCTCGGCGGCACACTTTGGATTATGCAGCCGCCGCTGTTCAGTTTATGCACATGTAGATTTCAGTTTTGAACCTTTTTTTGGAACATGAATGCGTTTTCTAGGTCAGGTATTGTATATTTTATGTATGTAGAACAGAAAAGATGTTTGCTGTTGTTGTGATGAGGCAACAAAAGTCCGTTTAGCAGCTCTGAAAACGATGCATTATGTAGAACAACAGGTTCCTGTGAAGAGTTTGAGCTGCAACTACATGAAATGGTGAAATAATGAAGTCATCCCCACACAAAGAGGTGAACATCTGGCAGCAAGTGTGCCAAAAAACAAACAAACAAAAAAACCAAACAGTTAAAAACACTGGAATATTTTTTCATTAAAAAAATGCAAGAACAGTGAACATAGCAGCAAATATCTGCGTAATAATGATATTTTTGAGCTGATTTAAATACAGTAAAACTGTAATTTTATTGTCACACATTGTAAAAAAAAACTATTGAAATAACAGCAAGTAAATAATATTCTTCTTTACTTGTTTTTTTTTTTTTATTCCTAATTTTCCAATTAAAATGTCAGTTAACACTTGTTTCTGTGAATGTACAAGATATTACCTGTAATTTCACAAAACTTTATAGTGACAGTTTAAAAATATATATTTTCCATTTTTCGGTCCTTAATAAACATAATTTTTCCTTTTAAATAACAGCAAATATTAGTAAAATAACAAAACTTATTTCTGATGTTGTTAAAGAACAAATTAATACAAATGCACATTTTTGATGTGGATTTATTTATTTATTTATTTATTTTAACAATTTTGGCCTGATTTATTTATTTAAATTTTTAGTTATTTATTTTTTCTTAATATTCTGGTAAATGGAGATTTTCTTCTGGGATTTTATTCCAAAAACAAATCTTACATTAACCGTTTAAAAAATATATATTTAAAAATTTAAAGTAATTATATACATAATGTTCTTTGGTAAATATTTTCAAAAGGAAAATAAATAACTATTTAAATCTTTTCAAATAAATTATAAAAAGTCAAAAAAAATACGAGTAAATTGCAAAAAGACAAACAAAAAAATAAATAAAAAAAATTTAAAAATACTTAAAAATGGGTAAAAAAAAAAAAAAAATAATTGTACAGTGCATCCTCTGCAGGTCTGCAGGATGCTGCTGAATCTTAGGATCCAGAAACGGCACCAACCGATCCTCATACAGTTCTCTAATCCCTCCTGGTCGATGATCCGCTTCTCTTCTGTTGTTCTGTGTTCGGCGTCGACCGAAATAATTTCTCTAATTGCGCTCCTCCTGCGTTTCACCGTCTCCTCCTTGTGGCCCGAAGGCTGCACTGAAAGCCTAATGATTTAACGCGTGGGCCAGGATTGTTTGGAAGCTACTGAGCACACAGATCAATAACTATAACTGCTGTGAATCCGAGCTGACAGCTGCCATCCACCGCAAAGGAGCAGCCGTAAAGTTTTTGGATCATCCCACCGAGTCGATAGGCGGCGGGCGGCTATTTTATACTGCAGAGATAGATGGGGCTGGCAGCACCTATAGGGCTTTGATTTACTTAATGGAAGGATTTTCTCATCTCTGTGTGTGCATCTGTGTTGCAGCTTTATATGAGTGGGAGCCTCGGCTGTCCCAGATTCCAGAGTAGAGCTCGTGGGCACTTCTCCCGCTCCAATGAGGGCCCTTTTTTTTTTTTTTTTTACTAATTAAGTCCCAGAACAACTTCTTCCAAAATCTAACCTCAGGACTTCCACCCGACCTGTTTTTCAAAGAGCCTGTGTTGCCTCCCCTGAGCTACCAGTGTACATCCGTATGCGTGTGAGCGTGCATGTGAGAGTGCACGTGAGGATGGTGAGAGGTGCGTTTTAGCTCGACACTGTATGTGGGATTCAGTGAAGTGCAAATATATGAACGGAGTTGAACCCGAGAGCAGAGGAAATGTGCTTTAAGACACATTTTACAGCAGCTGGTGGCATGAATGCATGTTTTGCACATCATTTAAATCTATATGTAGATACTGATAAAGATGTATGCATACAGATGTTTACAGACTGTATTAAAAGACACATAAACCTTTTTGTTCTCACCGTCTGACATTAAATCAGACTAAACTTTTCCTGTTTCAGGTCAGTCAGGATCACCAACATTATTTCTATTTGCTAAACACCAGAATAATGAGACAGAAAACTTTTCAGAGAATCTTTTATCTTCAAAGTCAGAAGTTTACATCCACTAAGATTAATATGCCTGTAGACTATTTGGGAAAGCCCAGATGATGATGTCATGGCTTCGGAAGCTTTTGATTGGTTAATTGACAACATTAATTGGAGGCAAAAATAAAGAAATAGAACAAGTGGAATAATAAAAGAAAGTAGAAGGTAAACCCACCAACACAAGGCCAAAGTCAATACTGTTGTTGTTGTTGTTGTTGTTGTTGTTGTTGTTGTTGTTGTTGTTGTTGTTGTTGTTGTTGTTATTATTATTATTATTATTAATAGTAAATAAATAAAATAACACATAACTAGTATATACATAAAGTTTGAAAAGAGAATAAAATGAACAATAAAACTAGTTTTAAAAAATCAATTTAATAATAAAAATAGATAATATTACATAAACTCAAACCTGCAAAATTTTAATTAGTGATTAAAAAAAAAAAAAAAAAAGCTTATAAAGTCCAGGGATCACATTCTAACTGTGAGCATTTACAGTCGACATAGTCATAGATCTTGGAGTGTTCTCCTGGACACGACCAAATGACAAATTTGTGTTGGCTTACGGGGTCACACGACTTTTTATTTTTGCATTTTTTTTCTGCAGCAACTCACCAAATTTCTTCCTAAACCGTTTTACAGTTTGCACAACCTGCGTTTTGCTTCACCTGCGGCCTCACAAGTCCTCCTCCTATAGAGAGTCAACAGGACGACCGGCTGCTAAGTGCACGTAAACACGCCGAGAGTTTCCCACTTTAGCGTCCGCCTGCCTGCTGCAGCTTTGAGTCAAATCCTGTCAAAAGTCAACGCAGACGTCGGGGGTTTCTCTTCTTCTCGGCTTTCTGGTTCGCGGTTGAGAGAGAGGAGTGGAGGCAGCAGGATGAGCGAGGCAGCGAAGGTGTAGGTGGACGAGGAGTCGGAGATGCCCTCCTCCTCCTCCTCCTCCTCCCCTTCCCGCTCGCCTCTGTTGCCATGACGACGCAGTCCGTGGAAGAAGCGTAGCCGCTAAAGAGCGAAGGTTTCGGCCTTGATCGCGCCGTCTGCGAATGGTAATGCCTGCGTGGAGGCACAGAGGAGGGGAAGAAGTGTGCAACGAGTCGATCTGCGACGACGGCGACCGTGAAGAACAGCAGAAAGCACGAAGAATTCACAAAGAGTCATCTTTAAGACTTTGGAACTGATTAAAGTCAGATAATCATTCAATCAAAGCCTCGATCTGAGTGTTTAATGAATGGCTTTGCTTCCTGAGAGAGGCTTTTACATGAATGAACATTAGTGAAATTCACATAAAAGAAGACAAAAAAAAAAAAAAGGCAGAACAACAGTGTGCTTCAGTTGACATTAATTTATCCTCATCAACACAAGAATGACAAATTTCACCCCAGGCACGGGATCAATGGCTGCTCTCATTCAATTTGTGTTTACAGCAAATTGAGACGAATCAGGTTGTGAGAGTGTGATCAATTTAGACGTTTAATGGGGATGGATCGAGCCCGCTTTCTTTTTTTTTTTGTGGCGTTATTTGTCACAGAATTAATCATTTTTATTTGCGAGATGAAACTTGATCCCTTTTGCAACGATTTTCTCCAAAGAGTCATAACTCAAGCATCAAGCGGTGTCGCGGCCCGTCGTAAAACCAACCGGGATCGTCCCCCAGAGCGCTGTTGGGCGGCGCCGGGCTGCGACGGTGGCGTTTGTCAACCTCTGCAGGATGTCTGGAGGGGCGCCGTGAGTCAGGACGACACTATCAGGGCTACGCAGGGCAGCACGGACAGGCGTTAGCGCTCAGCTAACCAGGAAATTAGCCGGCGTGCTAAGATAACGTTTTCAGAACATGGCGAGAGTCCAAATCATCCAGTTATGAAAGAGTGTGATGCTGAGTTTGATTAATTACTTCCCAGCTTAGCGTGATTCTCCCACAAAGAACCAGACTCTCATAGTTTTAATCGTTTGTTCAAATCGTGTCTGCAGATTTCTAAAATGCAAATCCACTAAAAAAAGAAAAATAAAGACAACTGTTGAATTAAATGAGCTGCTTTAATCGGTAACAGGAAACTTAATTAGGTTTATCCAAATTAAGTCGACAAGTAACATCAATGCCACTGGTTGAGCTTGTTTTTTTCATAGAGATTCATTATTTCAGGCTTTAAAAATGGTCTCATTGGTGACGTTTGTGGATCGACGTCGTTTTCCAGCAACTCAGACGTTCTTGCAGGAGAGAAACGTAAAGAAACGTGGACGTGATCGGACGCTGAAGCAGCATGAAGCTCATGTTTGTACCTTGAATCAAATTAAAATCCCAGTTCATGGTTAAGTTGTAAAAAAACAAGTTTCAGAAACGACCCTGAAGCTGATTTTTGCACGTTTTCTGACATTAGAAAACGGGTTTTAAAGAACATTTCAAGTTGACAGAATCCACAGAATAAACCACCGTCACTGAAACAGAAAGAAACTACAGCTCACAGCCGCTCTGTGAGTATTGAAGCCGGAGAACCGGGCGGCTCGGTTTCACTTCTGCTGACACGGCTCCGTTTATTTATTCTGTCTTTGGAATGAATTAGATTTCTGGCCGGTTTATTATTTATTTCCTCCTGCGAGTGACCAGGCAGCGGGGGCGTCCCTCAGCCTTGTTAGCCGAGCCTCGTCTCA